ATGACATTATTAGATTGGCCAAGCTATAGCCCTGACCTAAATCCAATAGAAAATGTTTGGGGAAAGTGTCAATAAGAAAAATCTGCTGAAATGACAGAAGAGGTGGTCCGATATTGGAACATCATGGACCACTACTTTCTAACTTCTTTGATCCGTAGTATGCCCCGCCGCATTGAAGCCTGCATTGCCGTGGTGACTTGACAAAATATTAACTGTTCACCTGTCTTTGAATCTGGAGTTATGTTCTGCTAATATTCACATTTAATACGTGAGTAATGAGTGAAATAAAAACAAAAATTACGATCTTTAAATTCTCAATAATTTCTGGTTGTACTGTATATTAATTTACCAACGTTTACTAATATAATAGAATCTGTAGGTAAAAGTCCCAACACAGAATTCTGCCGCCGGCATTATTTTGTAAGAAAGTGTGTGAACCATCATCAAAAACACGTAGAATAGTAATGACTTTTCTGGGTACAATAACAGCTCAATACTTAAGAACGACGAAGATCACAATAATGATGACGACGACAATTATGATGATGATGATGATGATTATGATTCATTCCCTTGAATGAAGTCATGAATAATTTTCAACCAAATTTAAATATGAAATGTAGTTACCGAAAAACAACAACAGAAGTACCGTGATCATTTGGTATATTTGGATTCATCCGAAAGAAATGCCGTTGAAATAGATAACACGTCAATCTGACAATATTATTAAACTTATTGAATTATCACCCGTGGTTGGATATTGTCTGATTATTGTCTTATAATGTATGTATTTCGGAACGCTGAAAAGCTGAAGAGGGTGGAATATATTTTGAGCACAAAGTAATGTGCAACGTGAGTCGAATTGCCGGCAGATTTACATGTTAAGCATGTATTGTTACTCGCTTGCTCTGTCAGGATTAAGTATACTGACGGAAAAGGATAACTGTGCATAACATGAAACTGCATAAAATAAAAGTTATTTGAAAAGTTGAAATGACAATAGATAAACATGTAGCAAAGCACGTTTCATGTAATTTGATGTCACGTATCAAATTTGACGGACTGTGCACAATGAACTTACTTTTTGCATGCTTTTTGCCACCTGAAATTCACACACCTCATATTTAAAATTGAACAATGGTTCATTATTCTCTTGCCTCTGAATGTTGTGGAAAACACGTTAATTTCAACCTAAACTGCGCGTACGTCATGCCACGGCTTACAGACAATCAGTGTCTTCGCGTCGTGGGTATGCTGGAGACTTGAATGGCCCAAAATGAAGTGGCCAGACATTTTAGTGTCCTTCGAAACACGATCTTATCAACATTATGGGAAATCGAGAGATTTTCCTCGGACCGACCGTCGACACTTGACGTTACGTCAGCAAAACACAACCTCATTCGGCTGACCTATCTAAAGAATCGTTTCAGACTGCCAGTTTGACTGCTCAGATCAATACTGGCTTACGTCCAATCAGTTCCAGGACTGTACGGAAGCGACTGGAGCACAACATCCGGCCTGCAATACGTCCAATTTTGCTCCAGCCTCACCGACAGGCACGCAATGCCTGGTGCAGACAGCATCTACGGTACTGAAGACAAGATTGGAAAGGTGTTTTGGTCACTGATATCATCTGGACATCTGAGAGGGCAGGGCAAGGGTTTACTGTGTACAGACGACGAGGTAAACGGTATGCTTTGTTCAACGTCGACACTTTAAGGGATGACATCACTGGACGTCATGTGCAGCCGTTCATCCAAGACAGAGACGCTTCGCGCTTCACAAGATAATGCCCGTCCACATGTCAATCGTGTTGTGACAAATTCCCTGTGACAGCAGAACATTCCGGCACTCCCCTGGCCATCTGTTTCTCTAGACCAGTCCCCTATCGAGCACGCTTGGATGAAATGGAGCAACTTTTACGTCAAGTCCAGAATCAGCCATTAACGTTAGCTGAATTGGGACATGCGTTGGTTCAGACATGGAACAACATTTCCCAAGCTTCCTTCAATCGCTTTGTGTCGTCAAGCCTGTCTCAACGCCAATGGTGGATACACACGATACTGAATTTATGAACTGACTTTTGACACCGCATGCTCACAAACTGAATGGTATCACCATTGCTACATACCGCTGAAGGTCAACAGTCAAGAAGTTAACACAACTACTTCTTGAAAACCAAGACTGAAATATCTATTTCTTTATCTCAGGCAATTTACTTACGGATCAGATGGCCGGTGAGGGGTCAATGTAACAAGTTGTTTACTACAATTTAGACAGCAAACAGACCTAATGTGGTTAAATGTTTAAGGTCGAATGTATGGATAAATAGCGAGGCGATTTGGAGAAACGGCAGAGATCCAACGGGGGGATACAACACATCTCTGAGAAAGACACTCCAGGAGCTCTCCAACTGATGTTACTAGAAGTTCTCGATAGTAGACCCTCAAGACTTGGGGGCGTGGTGGGCGTGGTGGGCGTGGTGGGCGTGGTGTCTAGGGCGCCAAGCAAGTGATCCAGCGAGCTTGAGGTGCCGGGACCGAGCCCACCTGTGACCGGGTGTAAAAACCTCAGAGTCAACTTTGTGTGCAGACTCTTTCAGTGTTGTCACAACCCCTAGTGTACAGTACACAACCCTGTGCACTTAAAAGATGGTGGCCACAACAAAACGTGCACACATCTAGCTGCGGTTACAGCAACGTGCAGTAAACATGGACAAAGTATTGTGACTATGTGTCCCAGTCCACCCAGCTGTGAATGGGTACCTCGTAAGGATGGGAAAGCTGCAATAACATGGCACGCCTAGTCACTGCAAGAGTCGTATGATCCCCAGGGAGTTGGGATTGATTAAACGATTTGCCGTAATAAGCTGAAAATTCAGCGCCTTGTGCATGTACTAGTTGCGTGGATATATAAATATCCTATCCTATCCTAAGACTTCATAATGCAGTAGAACTCTGAAAACGACGAATATTTTATACTTTGTGCCCTGGCTGATCAAGAACACATATCTGGATTTCACCTTTTTGTCATAACGTATGTTTGACCAAGTATATGAAGTATCCCACTGACGATTTCATACTGCTCATGGGTTTCACTAAAGTGATAAACGTCAGAGATATGCACCACTTCGAGCTTTCCTCCTTTATTTAACAGCTGTTTAGAGAAGCGTCGAACCCAACTCACCCCACACAATCAATGAGGGTATGTATTTTCACACAGACAAGATACATCAAAACATGTTCACATAATGGAAGCCTACGTGCTATGGAATGCTCGTTTTCTATTTTCACCTATCCCATCACAAACACGTATAACAGGTTCCTCCACGCATCTATGGCGACACTATTTGGATTACGTTCCCGCTAACGTTTCAGTGAACTTTAGTAAACGTACGTTGTGCACCTCTAAAGAAGATTCCATTTGTAGTCATACAATGACATACAGTGGTACAAATTATATGTGGTGATATGATTATATAGTAAGGGTATTCAAATGTGCATTTCTGTGCATTCCATGTTGAACACATTCATCTTGTGCAGTAGTGTATTGTTTATATATACATGATTTAACTGCATGTTTTACGTTTTAGTATCATTTAATAACACGCGGTTATATTTTATGGATCCTGAGGGGGTACGTAAGTCCCAACACATTTAGAGTAAATTTAGGCTTACCACGTTTTTAATCGTAGAATATGTGTGCTTTTAATTTATGGCTAGATTTCTCTTCTGTCGCCAATGGCTGAAGGGATGGTGTAAATCCAACTAGGATCCATGTAGGTAGCAAAAGTAATGTAAGTCCCCATGGATCCTAGTATGGTGATCTACCTTCAGTTATTGGCGATCTATAGTCCGTTTTTATATTGTATTGTCATTTCAAATTAACATATTTTAGTTTAATTGCTGGTTTTACAAACATATCTGTGATATTCTAGTTGTTTTACTGCCCTTCGTTGGCAGGTTTTTTATATTATACACATATTCCATTTCAATCTCAAATGTTCTCGTCACGATATGGCTGAAATATTGCCGATGTGACGTTAAATAATAACTCACTCACTCACTATATTTTATGGAAGTATGATAAGCAGTGCATCAGATGTATCACTACGGATAGGTATGGCTGAGTCAGTGAGTGAAGGTACAAGTCCTATTGGCACCGTGTCAGCCACATAGACCTTTCTACAATGATAAAAACGCGTCTGTGGTAGACAATATAAAAAGTAGATCATCAAACATCTTATTAAAAACTAGAATTAATGCATTAAACCATTTAAAGGCCACGACTAGTGAGTGAATTAATATTTAACGTCACATCGGCAATATCTCAGCCATATCATGACGAAAACAATTTATTCAGTAAAAAGTGAAAACATTTGGAGGATTAAAAGCTGTCGACGATGGACAGTAAATACTAGAGAATCACAGATGTGAATATAAAACTAGCGAGCAAAGTTAAAAGATTCCAATTAAAGAAGACAATACAGTATAAAACACGGGCTATAAAAGGCCAAGACTACAACTTAACAGTGACATATATACCTTCTAGACCAACACATGTGGTAATAATCACATCAAAGCTGTCGACGATCGGTACTAAAATAACCAGATTGTTCCTTATCTTATTTAAAAGTAGTGTTGGAGCATCAACCCCCTCAAACGTCACGACTTTTACGTAACAGAACAATATACCCAAGTTGCAATAGCAACGTACTGCGACCAACACTGACGCCCACTGCCTGCTGGGAAGGGGGGAGGGGCTGATAAGGAAGGAGGGACCACGGTGAGTCTAATCTGGTGCATGTATGCGAGTCAAGTCATTGGGTTGACTACAAAATTAAATTTCAATGCAAAAACGTCTTCTGAAGAAGTCGGACGCAGTTTGCTTGTCGTTTAACCTGCAATTACACCCAATGAATATATTATTATCGGAACTCTTTGACGTAGTCATTTTCCAAGGCCGTGTGCAAAATAAGCCTCACTATAAATACTCGAAATATATGTTAGGCAAACGAGATTTTGAAAGCCACACGCACTGTCAATAATGGGTTGCCTCAACGTTTTTAAAATCATCGTTGTTGTAATTCCTCTGGCTTTGGAAAAAACCGTCGCTGGTAAGTATATAAGAGGAAGCTGGTAGGTGAGGTGAGGTGATGTGAATAAAGTGGAAATAATCTGATAGTTTCTCGATGTAATTGGATGGCGAAATCATGCCATAGATCATCCTCACCTTGCCCGCCTGCTAACGGTGCTCATCAAGATGTTTGATGGTTTGATTCGTATCACGAAAATAGGAAATTGTATGACTGCTACGATTATTTGTGCTAGCGAAACAAATGAAAATGACGAGTGACCAACTCCCTGTGAAGGAAAACTAAGTTCTATGGATAGTCAACTTCTTTATTGCAATGAGTGCGACGTTTCGGTGAAGGTACTAACACCGTTATCAAACAAGTGATACAACAATTTGTAACAAGGAGAATATATACATTGCTGCATAGTGAGTATATACAATTAACAAGGTTGATGTACATTGGATATTTGATAAGTGATTTTGAGCAGAGGAGGTTGATGTACAGAGTGATTAGAGTTGAGTTATACAATTCATGAGTTTGACGTACAATGGGATGATGATAAGTAAGTAGGTTGAAGTACACTAGTTGTGATTACAAGCACAAAGGGGAGCGTGGAAGCCAGATGGACAAAGGAGGTATGGATGGATTACTGGTGGTGGTCTTTGATTAGGTGGTGATAGGCTGAGGAGATGAAATAACCTTGATCACGATTCATGGTGGGGTTGTGGCATTGGATGTTTGTGGCTTCAATGAGTTTCCTAATTTTGTAGTCTTGTCGGTTGATTTCCAGGATGTCGATGTTGTTCCATAGGATGGCTTGGTCAGGGTTGGCTTGCGTGTGGTCGGCTATCGCGGCTAACTCCCTGTGAAGTTCTAATTTTCCTACAGGACGTTAAGTATAAATTCTACGTAGGAAAATTGATGAATTGATTATGTTGACTATTTGAAAACCTCTAAAGAGGATCTGGTGTACCTCACCTTGATATTACTGGAATATTGATAAAGGCAGCGCAAAACAACGATGACTTTATCAGCACTCAATTCCTGGTTTAATGTGATTTCAGTGATGTCTTCTCGAGATATGGGAGAGTCTAGAATATCGACAGGCATCTGGTTCAATTAGGTCTCAGAGCCTCACACACTTTAGATCTCATCTTTGTCACTAGAATGTATCTCATTCTTAAAAGTAAAGAAGTAACTGGAAAAGTTACAGTTAAGAAACGAAATCACTATTTCCTTTCTAATTATGCTTCTTCCATACATTCCAGTACGCTGGTTTCGAAATTGAATTGAATTTTGTAATTGACCAATTGTATTATTCTTGAAAGAAGAATTTAAATGCGTACATTTTTCCTTTCGTTTTGACCTCTACTGATATCTGTTGTCGCTATGCATAAAGCATGTGCAATGTATTCAACACTACCTCCAATATCATAAGATTTTGTAAACATGATATGTCACTTATTTTGTGGTAAGCATGAGATATGTCACTTGTTTTGTGGTACGCATGATATGTCACTTGTTTTGTGGTAAGCATGATATGTCACTTTTTTGGTAAGTATGAGTCACATGTTTTCTATGGTAAGCATGATATGTCATTTGTTTTGTGGTAAACATGATATGTCACTTTTTTGTGGTAAGCATGATATGTCACTTTGTTGTATAAACATGGTATGGCACAAGTTTTGTGGTAAGCATGAGTCACATGTTTTGTGTGATAAACATGATATGTCACTTGTTTTGTAGTAAGCATAATATGTCACTTGTTTTCTGGTAAGCATGATTCACTTGTTTTGAGTGGTAAGCATGATATGTCACTTGTTGAGTGGTAAGCATGATATGTCACTTGTTGAGTGGTAAGCATGATATGTCACTTGTTGAGTGGTAAGCATGATATGTCACTTGTTGAGTGGTAAGCATGATATGTCACTTGTTCTCTGGAAAGCATGATATGTCACTTGTTCTGTGGTTAGCATGATATGTGACCTCTTCGTGGTAAGTATGATATATGACGTTTCCCGGTAAGCGTGAATCACATGTTTTGTGTGGTAAGCATAATATGTCACTTGTTTTCTGTAAAGCATGATATTTCACTTGTTTTGTGGTGAGCATGATATGTCACTTGCTTATTGGTATGCATGATATGTCACTTGTTGAGTGGTAAGCATGATATGTCACTTGTTTTCTGGTAAGCTGGATATGTCACTTGTTTTTGCATAATATGTCACTTGGTGATAAGCATGATATGTCACTTGTTTATTGGTTTTGTTGAGGTAAGCATGATATGTCACTTGTTTTCTGGTAAGCATGATATGTCACTTGTTCTGTGGTAAGCATGATATGTCACTTGTTTTCTGGTAAGCATGATATGTCACTTGTTTGTGGTAAGCATGAGTGGTAAGCATGATATGTCACTTGTTGAGTGGTAAGCATGATATGTCACTTGTTGAGTGGTAAGATATGTCACTTGTTGAGTGGTAAGCATAATATGTCACTTGTTGAGTAAGCATGATATGTATTGTGGTAAGCATGATATGTCACTTATTGTGGTGGTAAGCATGATATGTCACTTGTCACTTGTTGAGTGGTAAGCATGATATGTCACTTGTTGAGTGGTAAGCATGATATGTCACTTGATTGACTTGTGGTAAGCATGATATGTCACTTATGAGTGGTAAGCATGATATGTCACTTGTTGAGTGGTAAGCATGATATGTCACTTAGTTGTAAGCATGATATGTCAAGTAAAGCATGATATGTCACTTATTGAGTGGTAAGCATGATATGTCACTTGTTGAGTGGTAAGCATGATATGTCACTTGTTGAGTGGTAAGCATGATATGTCACTTGTTGAGTGGTAAGCATGATATGTCACTTATTGAGTGGTAAGCATGATATGTCACTTATTGAGTGGTAAGCATGATATGTCACTTGTTTTGAGTGGTAAGCATGATATGTCACTTGTTTTCTGGTAAGCATGATATGTCACTTATTGAGTGGTAAGCATGATATGTCACTTGTTTGAGTGGTAAGCATGATATGTCACTTGTTTTTGTAAGTGGTGTCACATGATATGTCACTTTTGTGGTGGTAAGCATGATATGTCACTTATTGAGTGGTAAGCATGATATGTCCTTGTTTTCTGGTAAGCATGATATGTCAGTGGTAAGCATGATATGTCACTTGTTTAGTGGTAAGCATGATATGTCACTTGTTTGAGTGGTAAGCATGATATGTCACTTGTTTTTGAGTGGTAAGCATGATATGTCACTTGTTGAGTGGTAAGCATGATATGTCACTTGTTGAGTGGTAAGCATGATATGTCACTTGTTGAGTGGTAAGCATGATATGTCACTTGTTGAGTGGTAAGCATGATATGTCACTTGTTTTGTGGTGGTAAGCATGATATGTCACTTGTTGAGTGGTAAGCATGATATGTCACACTTGAGTGGTAAGCATGATATGGTAAGCATGATATGTCACTTGTTGAGTGGTAAGCATGATATGTCACTTATTGAGTGGTAAGCATGATATGTCACTTGTTGAGTGGTAAGCATGATATGTCACTTGTTGAGTGGTAAGCATGATATGTCACTTATTGAGTGGTAAGCATGATATGTCACTTGTTGAGTGGTAAGCATGATATGTCACTTGTTGAGTGGTAAGCATGATATGTCACTTGTTTTGTGGTAGCAGCATGATATGTCACTTTCGTAGTAAGTTATATGAGCATAATTTCCTATTTCGGTAAGCATGATATGTCATGTTTTTGTGGTAAGCATAATATGTCACTTGTTTTCTGTAAAGCATGATATTTCACTTGTTTTGTGGTGAGCATGATATGTCACTTGCTTATTGGTATGCATGATATGTCACTTGTTGAGTGGTAAGCATGATATGTCACTTGTTTTCTGGTCGGGATATGTCACTTTTCTGTGGTAAGCATGATATGTCACTTGTTCTCTTGTTGTATAATATTTCTGGTAAGCATGATATGTCACTTGTTCTGTGGTAAGCATGATATGTCACTTGTTCTCTGTAAAGCATGATATGTCACTTGTTGAGTGGTAAGCATGATATGTCACTTGTTGAGTGGTAAGCATGATATGTCACTTGTTGAGTGGTAAGCATGATATGTCACTTGTTGAGTGGTAAGCATGATATGTCACTTGTTGAGTGGTAAGCATGATATGTCACTTATTGAGTGGTAAGCATGATATGTCACTTGTTGAGTGGTAAGCATGATATGTCACTTATTGAGTGGTAAGCATGATATGTCACTTGTTGAGTGGTAAGCATGATATGTCACTTGTTGAGTGGTAAGCATGATATGTCACTTGTTGAGTGGTAAGCATGATATGTCACTTATTGAGTGGTAAGCATGATATGTCACTTGTTGAGTGGTAAGCATGATATGTCACTTATTGAGTGGTAAGCATGATATGTCACTTATTGAGTGGTAAGCATGATATGTCACTTGTTGAGTGGTAAGCATGATATGTCACTTGTTGAGTGGTGGTAAGCATGATATGTCACTTGTTGAGTGGTCACTTGTTGAGTGGTAAGCATGATATGTCACTTGCATGATTGAGTGGTAAGCATGATATGTCACTTGTTGAGTGGTAAGCATGATATGTCACTTGTTGAGTGGTAAGCATGATATGTCACTTATTGAGTGGTAAGCATGATATGTCACTTGTTGAGTGGTAAGCATGATATGTCACTTGTTGAGTGGTAAGCATGATATGTCACTTGTTGAGTGGTAAGCATGATATGTCACTTGTTTTGTGGTAAGCATGATATGTCACTTGTTTAGTGGTAAGCATGATATGTCACTTGTTGAGTGGTAAGCATGATATGTCACTTGTTGAGCTTATTGGTATGCATGATATGTCACTTGTTGAGTGGTGGTAAGCATGATATGTCACTTTCTTGAGTGGTAAGCATGATATGTCACTTGTTTTCTGGTAAGCATGATATGTCACTTGTTAAAGCATGATATGGTTGAGTGGTAAGCATGATATGTCACTTGTTGAGTGGTAAGCATGATATGTCACTTGTTGAGTGGTAAGCATGATATGTCACTTGTTGAGTGGTAAGCATGATATGTCACTTGTTGTGGTAAGCATGATATGTCACTTGTTGAGTGGTAAGCATGATATGTCACTTATTGAGTGGTAAGCATGATATGTCACTTGTTGAGTGGTAAGCATGATATGTCACTTATTGAGTGGTAAGCATGATATGTCACTTGTTGAGTGGTAAGCATGATATGTCACTTGTTGAGTGGTAAGCATGATATGTCACTTGTTGAGTGGTAAGCATGATATGTCACACTTGAGTGGTAAGCATGATATGTCACTTATTGAGTGGTAAGCATGATATGTCACTTGTTGAGTGGTAAGCATGATATGTCACTTATTGAGTGGTAAGCATGATATGTCACTTGTTGAGTGGTAAGCATGATATGTCACTTATTGAGTGGTAAGCATGATATGTCACTTATTGAGTGGTAAGCATGATATGTCACTTGTTGAGTGGTAAGCATGATATGTCACTTTGTTCGGTTGGTAAGCATGATATGTCACTTATTGAGTGGTAAGCATGATATGTCTTGTTAGTGGTAAGCATGATATGTCACTTATTGAGTGGTAAGCATGATATGTCACTTGTTGAGTGGTAAGCATGATATGTCACTTGTTGAGTGGTAAGCATGATATGTCACTTGTTGAGTGGTAAGCATGATATGTCACTTATTGAGTGGTAAGCATGATATGTCACTTGTTGAGTGGTAAGCATGATATGTCACTTATTGAGTGGTAAGCATGATATGTCACTTGTTTTCTGGTAAGCATGATATGTCACTTGTTCTGTGGTTAGCATGATATGTGACCTTTTCGTGATAAGTATCATATATGACGTTTCCCGGTAAGCGTGAGTCACATGTTTTGTGTGGTAAGCATAATATGTCACTTGTTCTCTGGAAAGCATGATATGTCACTTGTTTTGCAGTAAGCATGATATGGCACTTGCTTTGTGGTAAGGATGATAAGTCATTTGATTGTGGTAAGCATAATATGTCACTTGTTTTGTGGTAAGCATGATGTGTCACTTGTTCTATGGAAAGCATGATATGTCACTTGTTTGTGGTAAGCATGATATGTCATTTGTTTTGTAGTAAGCATGATAAGTCATTTGATTGTGGTAAGCATAATATGTCACTTGTTTTGTGGTAAGCATGATGCTTCACTTGTTCTCTGGAAAGCATGATATGTCACTTGTTTGTGGTAAGCATGATATGTCACTTGTATGTGGTAAACATGATATGTCACTTGTTTGTGGTTAGCATGATATGTCACTTGTTTGGTAGTAAAGCATGATATGTCATGCATGATGTCACTTGTTTGTGGTAAGCATGATATGTCACTTGTTTGTGGTAAGCATGATATGTCACTTGTTTGTGGTAAGCATGATATGTCACTTGTTTTGTGGTAAGCATGACATGGCACTTATTGTGTGGTAAGCATGATATGTCACGTGTTTGTGGTAAGCATGATACGTCACTTGTTTTGTGATAAGCATGATACGTCACTTATTTTGTGGTAAGCATGATATGTCACTTGTTTTGTGGTAAGCATAATACGTCACTTGTTTGTTGTAAGCGTGATATGTCACTTGTTTTGTGGTAAGCATGATATGTCACTTGTTCTGTGGTAAGCATTATATGTCACATGTTTTGTGGTAAACATGAATTGCGTGTTTTCTATGGTAAGCATGACATGGCACTTGTTCTGTGGTAAGCATGATATGGCACTTGCTTTGTTGTAAGCATGATATGTCACTTTGTGGTAAGCATGATATGTCACTTTTTTTGTAAGCAAGATATTTCACATGTTTGGTGGGCATCATCATTCAGTTGTTTGTGGTAAGCATGATATGTCACTTGTTTTATGGTAAGCATGCTATGTCACTTGTTTAGAGGTAAATATGATATGTGGTACGGATGAGATGTCACATGTTTTGTCGTAAGCATGAGACACATGTTTTGTATGGTGTATAAGCTCGATATGTTCCTTTTTTGTTGTAAGCATGATATACAACAGGTCTTGTGGTAAGCATGAAATGTCACTTGCTTGTGATATGTTACCTGTTTTGTGGTACGCATGAGATTCACATGTTTTGGGGTAAGCATGAGTCACATTTTTTTGTGTGGTAAACATGATATGTCGTTTGTTCTGTGATATCTCACTTGTTTTGTGGTGAGCTTGATGTGTCACTTGTTTTGTGAAATGCACGATATGTCACTTGTTTTGTGGTAAGCATGATGTTTCACTAGTTTTGTGGTAAGTATGATATGATATATGTTTGGTGGTAAACATGACATGCCACGTATTTTAGTATAAGGGTGGTATGTTATTTGATTTGTGCAATATCAGGTTCTTTTGTAATAGGCTTTATGATAAGCACTGTGTGTTATTTGTTTGGGATAAGCATTATGTGAAAATTGGATTGTGATAAGCATGGTATATTCTTTGTTGTGGGGTAAGCATCATGTGGAAATTGTTTTGTGATAAGAACTGTATGTTGTTTGTTTGGGGATAGGCATGATATATCATTTGTTTTGTGTTAAGCATGGTATTTTATTTGTTGTGTGGTAAGCACTATGTATGATTTGTTTTGTGATAAGCGTGGTATCTTATTTGTATGGGTGTAAGCATTACACGTCACTTGTGTGGTAAGCACAAAATGATATGTTATATGTTAAGTATTTGTTTTTTGTTTGTTTGTTTTATTTTGGATTGTTGTTGTTTTCATTTGTTTTGGGGAATGTTATTTCATACTATGCTGAACATTAGTTTGATCGCCATTCTAGAAGTTGGTGAGTTTATGAAACATATAACTCTATGGTGGACAGGATCTTGTTTCTTTCATAAAGCGACGTTTCGATATAGACTCTGACACCGTTATCAAGCTAAAAGTGACTACTACCAAATGATTAAAAGTGTATATACATAGCATGTTTTGACAAACTAAGGATATATGTGTTCCTCATAATAAAGTTGACATCCATAAAGACTCAATATCTTATGTGTATCACAATGTCATTCAAAGGCCTAAATCCCCCTTGTTTATTGGCTCCACCACCAGTCCCATGTGTTGTTCTTAGTCCCTAACTGGCCTCTCCCAATAATGTACCAGTTATTATTCAATTACATTCTGTTAATGTTAATCTGCTTTTTGTCAAAACATAGTATGTTTATATACTTCTCATAATTTGGTTGTAGTCACTTTTACCTTGACAACTGTCTAAGAATCTACGTCGAAACGTCGCTCTATGCAATTAACATTCATGCTGAACAAATCTCCTTCCCAACATTTTAGTCGTTAACAATTAACATACTACTGTATCGCTTACTTCGTCCAATGCATTTCACCAAGCAATCATCCTCATGACTAAAGCTGTATGAATGCATGGTTTATTCTCAAGAAGATCACAATAGTGACATAGAGAAAAATACAAATGAAGAGGTTTGTTAATTGGAGCATACGTAGCCAAGTTTTTAACAGTAGTGCTCTATGCGTAAAAGACATCAGGGATATAATTTTATCTAAAGATGGGTAATTACAATAAAGGTTTGGTGGGAATGAATTTCTTTCCTAAATATTGACAATATAACCAAAGTAAAATTCATCTCCTTTTGAATTTTTACACAATGTACATAATCTGTCTTCTTTAGTAACATTAACCACATTTAAAAAAATCAGAAACTAATGAGTTACAGTCTAAACAAGAATTTAGTCCTTATTTACAGATGGGTCCAAGTATGGTGGCACAGTGACCATTGCATAATGTTGACACCGTTCTGTTGTAGGAAGTCCCGTGTAGCTCTGGCAGTATGGGCCCGGGCTTTATCATACTGGAACATGTTGTTCCATAGGTTGTTTATATGGCGCCTCTTCCAGGCTAGATATCCTGCTCAAAGCACACAATCTGACCATTATTACTGCCTGTTAGGCGCAGTAAGGTTAATAGTCTCATGACTTATTTCACCGGGTACCCACTTTCTGCTGGGTGAACAGAGACAATTTTGAACAAACTCACTTGCCTAAGGAGAGACCACATAACCGGTATGTCCACCATCGGCATTGAGAACAGCAGTGCATCGACGACGCATAGAGCCTATCAAACGTGCAAGGAAGGATTGTGGGATGTCACGCCAGATTCCCTCAAGTTCTGTTGCAAGGTCAAGGACGTTATCTGGCGGATGAGGAAGACGGCGTAGACGTCGATCCATCTCATCCCAAACATTCTCTATCGGGGAGAGATCCGGTGAATTTGCATGCCAAGGCAGTAAGTCAACGTTTTGGTGTTGCAAGAAATCCATAGCAACCCTTGCCGTATGAGGGTGGGCATTGTCCTGTTGGAATGTTAACCCAGGGCCATGACGTTGTAGAAAAGGAATTGCCACAGGTCGAACAATCGGATCCCTGTAGCCCACACCAGTTAAGTTGCCCTGAACAATCACCAAATGAGTTCTTTGGCGTGCTGTTATTACACCCCAAATCATCACGGAACCACCACCACCAAAGCGATTCCTCTCCAAGACACAGGCCTGTGCATAACGTTCTCCCACGCGTCTATAGGCACGTTGACGTCCATTACTATGGGAAATGTTAAACCTTGACTCATCTGTAAAAACATTTCTCCACCAAAACAAGGGTCTGCGGACATGATTTCGGCACCACATTCGGCGAGCTTGTCGATGACGTTGTGTCAGGATAGGCCGTATGGCGGGACGTCGTGGTCTGATCCCGTGATGACGTAAACGTTGTCGAACTGTGTTGGGGTGGATACGGCGAAGTCCTGGGATGGTTCGGACAGTCATCACTGCAGTCTGAAACCTGTGGCGAAGATGGGTCACCCTTATCAATCTGTCCTCTCTTGGCGTTGTTACACGTGGACGTCCACAACGTGGCCGATCGATGACGTCATTTGAGTTCTGGTAGCGTCTCACCAGTGCAGAAATGGTGTTCCGGTGGCAGTGGAAATGTGCAGCCACTTGTCGTTGAGACATTCCCCACGGACCATCCCAATGGCCTCATGACGTTGTGCAGACGTGAGCCTTGGCATGCTAAGCGTTTCAATAGCCATTTAATTTTTTGAACTATGGCAAGGGCAGGGTTTGAGCTTTCCAAAGTGACAGTATTGTGTGGCATTCATTTGCTTTGTTTCTCTTTCCCGGAATGCACGTGCAACAACGTATTGCACGTCTCAAGGACGAACCCACTGACGTCACGGAACGTGGCACGTGCATGCATGTTGGATACATGTCACTAATCTCTGAGTTTAAATTCTTATGTGTGTACACAGGTTTGATAAATTTAGATTTAAATTTTTGTATGCACAGTTTCTTTATGTGCCTAGTATAGTTGAATAACCCTTTTCAAAGCCCGCTTGCGCTTCACCTATGAAGCCGACCTTATCAGAATAGGTTTGTAGCCTCTTACTCTTACTGGAGTCAGCTTTGTCCCCTTTATTCTTATAAATTGGTCTTTTCGTACACAAAAGCCACGATTCCGGCATTACACCATACTCTTAAATGACAATAAACAACTCGTACCCTTAATATGCTCATTATACACATTATCTAAACAGCAACCCTTATTATTATTAATTGCTGTACAGATTCAAGTATTTTTTGTATCAGTTAAAGGAGCGTCTTATATATAACTATTTACAATACAAGCATGTCGAAAATCAACATCAAAATCATTTACATCATGAATGTTTACATCGTAATCTACATTATTAACATTTTCAATGTTATGAGCATCAACAACGTTGTCAACACCATCATATTATTGTTGCCTTTAGCAGCATTTAAATCCTTAAAGAAAGTATAAAATGAATTAATGCCAATTACTGGCTGTGTATCTTGTTTTGAATCAAAAGTTTTCCAAATTTACAAAAAAGAAATTAGAATCAGTGTGTTTAGAAGAATGCACGTATTCTGCACAATCCATTTTGAAATGTGAAAAAGCGTTTTTAAAGTTTTACTGTTACCACTTTTGCTTGCGGTTAAGAATGCTGATTTACTTTGCTGTGAGCTATTACGTCTATAAGCACGTTTACATGTATGCTATTGTCTGCGCATAGATTTAATGTTGTGATTTTATCACAAATGATGTTTACACGATAATCAATATTTTCTGCGTTCACAAATAACATCAATCTGTCCCGTTTCGCATTAAAAACAATAACAGAAATTATGCCGTCCAAAAAAAAGAGCAAAAAAACCCCCACCAATCTGTGTAACAACAATACTTTGTGCAAGTGCCTCTGATGATGTAGGATCATACTCTTTGGCAGCGATGTTTGCTGAGCATGATTCCCCAATTATATCACCACTCGTTGGTTCAGAGACTAGTAAGTTGTCCGTACGTTCAGAGACATTACCCTTTACAAGGATACAAATCAAGTTTTGTGAATAAGTCACCGTGCATGTCCCTGCATTGTTATCAAACCGACTGTTTAAGTCGTAAACGTCTACCGGTTGTCATTCACATTAATATCTAGCTCATTATCCATGTATTGCTGCCTTGAATAATAATTGTCTTCACGTGAGTGAATTCATGCTTTCTACAGGTGTTTATGTATTTTGATAAGGTATTCCACGTGGAAAATATGCATTAGCAGGCGTAGTTATTGTCCTGGTAGAGGGAAACTGCGGTAATGCTGATCTTATGATGATAAATATTTCATTGGTGACTATTATATACAGATTGTGTCAACAAAAGATGTAAGAAAACCCAGTTACACGTCACTGAAATTCAATTGGGGAACATTTTTAAGACTGAACAATACAACAACGACATAAATTAAAATGCCAATGTACCTGCTGTCATTGCGTTGTAAAGGATTTTTATAAAGTTAAATATTAGGCATTTGTATTACATACTGCCACATGAATGTATACCACATGTGCACAACCCATTCCTGAATAAGATGGAATATAAACCATGTGTCGTGGCCTTTTTAAAAATCCTTAAAAATACCTTTGCAACCTGTATGAACTACAGCACCAGAAGGACGACACCACCCTAGGTTTGCTGGTGATTGTAGAAACATAATTTGAACGTTGTGGTCTAACTAGTTTCAGATGGAAGCTGGGGCGGTGATGTAGCCTAATGGTTAAATCGTTCGCTCGTCACTCCGTAGACCCGGGTACGATTCCCCATATGGGTACAATGTGTGAAGCACATGTCTGGGGTCCCCCGTCGTGGTATTGCTGGAATATTGCTAAAAGCGGCGTAAAACTAAACTCACTCATTCGTTCGGGAACGGCTACTAACAATTTCCGTCGATTTGGACAGAAAATGTATCTTTAATAAAACATATGCATATGACAATTATCTCTGTGAAAAAATTGGTTTGAAGTTACAAATGAAAATGATTAGACGTTGTTCGAACTATTCTGGAATGATTATGCTTTGAAATGTTTATCATCCTTTGAGGTGGTAAATCAATACAATGGGGTCGTTAAAACAAATGATTATAGGAACACCAACATTGTTAGAAATTTCCTTTAATGATGATGCCATGAAATGTTTATCATCCCTTGATTTGAAAAATCAACAATATGGGCCGGTTAAGACAAATCATTTTTCAGAAAAATTAAATTGTCCTATTTTCGTCCCTACCGAAATAAACCAATAACAGTGATTTAGATGTTCAAAAGAATGGTTGAAATAAAATCCTGCTTTGGAAACAAAGATACACCATTTAAAGTCACCATTTTTCAACTATTAAAACAAGAAACAACTGTTGTAGAGTGTATAAAATTGTAAAATAATCATCCCCATGATTTCAGTCTTTTAAAACATTTTCTGCTGATTTACATTAGAAAACCAAGTAAAACGTGTCTTTGATATTGTGAAAAAGTGTTTAGGAACTTCTACAATGATCATGGTTAACATTTTTGCTTGCAAGTAGGAATTTTCCATTTTCTGTTTACGCATAGCAATATCAATCGCCAAAACGCAGCAATATTCAAGCAGTATTTGCATCCATTTCACATGTAGAATGATTCTACAGGGTATGGAGAGAGCCTAGAAAAGATGATATGATACACAAGTACGAGAAATATGCCAAGATTAACAGCTGAAGAGAGAGAAAGAGCCATTGGGATGTTGCAGATGGGGTCGACATACAACACATCGGTATTGACTTTAAGTTTAAACTTCTTTGCACAATGAACTTGTTTTAACTCTGCCAATACAAGCACAAATTCCAACTAATATGCATAATGATTCAGGTCAGCAAAATGGAGAACACAGTTTGTACACCTTTGTCTTACCCCAATGAAATGAATGAGGACATTTAACTTATTGTGTTCTCAATAAACCGTGTGACTAACACTGATTATTTGCATAGTAATTTCATATGGAGTACCGTATTTCACCCAAAATGCGTTATTTTCCTGTTGTGCATTATTCCGTTGTATCTGATACCAATACCTTTTATGTTATACAGGTGCTGAAACTTGGGGTTACTTTGGTAACATAGGTAAGTTTACTTTTTATGTTACCTCTAGTTATTCATATGTGACGACCAGTAAATTATCCTTTGAACTTTCAGAATGTTTATCATCAACACTGGGGGCGGTGGGGTAGCCTAATGGTTAAAGCGTCCGCTCGTCACGCTGAAGACCCAGGTTAGATTCCCCACATGGGTACAATGTGTGAAGCCCATTTCTGTCAGCCCCCCCGGTGATATTGCTGGAATACTGCTGAAAGCGGCGTAAAACCATACTCACTCACTCACTCACTCATCAAGACTTTTTCAAAATGACACAAATAGGACAAAAACATGCATTTTCGCCTTCAGAGACAGCAAACCGGATTAATTACATTAACAGTTATGGATGTAATATTGAAGCAAGAATTTTATATATTTGATGTTATTGTTTTAAATCTTAATAATCTTCAAACAAATAGTTCAAATGAAACAATACATCATACTCTGAGAGAAACAAATATAGGAACACGGGAAATTCAAGCGTTCCTTAAATATTTTCCAGTTTTCATCACCAGCTTTGAATAGCGCTGTGGGAGGCAATCTAAGATAAAAACTGTAACACTGCCATGAAGTGGTGTTCCCTTATTTGTTTCCCTCAGTATATTTATAACACATACGTCCCTAGTATGGTGATCTCCCTTTAGATGTTGATCTATAACCTATTTTTATATTGTACTGTTACATATGATGATATATTTTATGGATACATACTCGTTTTAAAACAAAACTGGATTTTATAGTAACAACATGTATTTAAAGTTTATCCAAAACTTTTGAAGTCACGGTATGGCTGAAATACTGCCGGTGTGACAATAAATTTTAACTCACTCATTCACTGAATGAAGTCAATGAAGAGCCTCAACAAAATTTAAATATGAAATGTAGGATATGAATGAATTTAATAAGATTGTCCAACGTCTTGTCCAACGTCTTGCCTATCCAGGACCAGCCCACTGGTCTCTAAATTTTAACTCACTCACTCACTATAACACATACTCGGGTTATATTATCATACATTGCCTTTCCAGGACCAGCCAACTGGACCGATATTAACCCAACATGTGGGGGTCAACGGCAGTCTCCCATCAACATCCAGGCAAAACAAGCTCAGGCCAAGAAGTACGACCCTTTCGTGATGCATAATTTTGACACAACTAATGCCACTCTTGTGCTGAAGAACAGGGGCCATACAGGTGATGCACTTACCTTTCCTAAACAGTCTCTTCAGGCACATTGCACCCGTGAAGATCCGGGTTAGAATTGATCTTCAGTAACCCATGCTTGTCGTAAGAGGCGACTAACAAGATGGACTCGCTGACTTGGTTTACACATGTCATCGTGTCCCAGTTGCGTTGATCGATGCTCATGCTGTTGATCACTGGGTCGTATAGTCCAGACTCGATTATTTACAGACCGCCGCCATATAAACGGAATATTACTGAGTACGGCGTAAAAATATACTCAATCACTCTTGCACATTGCATGAACTGTATATGTACATGGTCTTGTGCTCATGTTAGATCTTGTCGTATAGTCCGCCCGGAGAGCGGAAGGTCACGGGTTCGATCCCCGACCGTGTCATGCCAAAAGATGTTAAAATATGGTACTTGTTGGTTCCTGCCTGGCGCTCGGCATTAATGGGTACAACAAGGACTGGTCGGCTCGGAGTCAACAAATGTGTCTGAGTGTGGTATTCATGCTTCACTGCGGCATGGTATCTCAGTGGGCTAGCACTATAAAACAAGCTTAAGTCTGGGCTAGTACAAGCAGCCGCACATACACATACACACGCATGCACGTCGTCATATGAGCGAAATATTCTCAAGCACGACGATAAACCAAATTTCACCTCACCTCACCTCTTGTCGTATAAGTTCCCGTGAAGGATTGCAAGTAATCTGCTCATGCTCAAATTCAGACAAGAAAATCATTCAGGTGCAATGTTGTCATAAAGAATTACTAGCAACTGGCCATACTACTATTTAGGATTACAGGTATTGTACAGTCTCTATATAAACAGTCTATTGAGAACAACCTGTGAAGGTCCGGGTTAGAATTGATCTTCAGTAACCCATGCTTGTCGTAAGAGGCGACTGACGTGATCGGGTGGTCAGGCTCGCTGACTTGGTTGACACATGTCATTGTATCCCAATTGCGCAGCTCGATGCTCATGCTGTTGATCAATGGATTGTCTGGTCCAGACTCGATTATTTACAGACCGCCACAATATAACTGGAATATTGCTGAGTGTGGCGTAAAGCTAAACTCACTCACTCACTATTCAGTACGCTCACCCTTTCTGGAACACCCGGTATCATCACTATTTTCATAATGATAGATTCCGGGGTGGCGGAGTAGCCTAATGGGTAAAGCGTTCGCTCGTCACGCCGAAGACCCGGGTTCGATTCCCCACATGGGTAGAGTGTGTAAAGTCCATTTCTGGTGTCCCCCGCCTCTATCTTGCTTGAATACTGCTCAAAGCGGCGTAAAACTAAACTCACTCACTCATAATGATTCAGAAACATATCCTCATAATATAGTCGGAATTGTACAGTCGAATCTGCTTTGAGCAGAGATTTCTTATGGACGTGGAAAGGGTTTTGTCACTTAAATTTTATTTACAATGCCAGATTATTCAATTACAAGTTTTAATAATTTCTACAGCATTATCAAGACATACTTCCACCTAATGCCACTTACCACATTTGAGATAGATAGATAGATAATTAAAAGTTTAATAAGTGTTCGGGCAACTGGGCCCATTTACACTTTGCCCATCATAAAGGTTTGCTAAGTTTCTAAACTGTTACAAACTATAGTACTGTCGGAAATAGAAAAAAAACTGTTTTTAGGCTGTTACTCTGTATCCCTAAAATTTACACAGTTGCAAATAGCATATGTCGAAATAACCCACTTCGGCCTAACTTGGCGTTCAGTGGGATGCGTAATACGATATCCAGAAAAGCATGTTTACTCGTAAAATCGGGTAAAACTTAGAAAAAAATACAAATAGCTGCTGAAAACAATCGATCAGACTATAGATTGCAATTAGGTCGCTCAGCCAGGTATGACGACGGACCGTCGACTCACCTGGCATGAAATGCACGTGCTGCCTGCAGGCACTAGGGGTCATCTCAAAGATCTTTTGTACTTTTTCATGTGTGTTGACTATGTCTCATCTAGTGATTAACATCTTTCGTGTCTTTCTTTCATAAAGTTTATGTTGAGATATGTAAAAGAATATGATACCCGAAAACCATAGAAACGCATCGTAGTATATAGGTGGCATGACCACCCGAAGATCGACAGGACTGGATATTATTTGTAAATTGTTATGACGTGCCGTGTAGCTCCCCAGTATAATTGCCCTAAAGGATTATTTTATCTGAGCTGATATCTCTATCCCCTAGTCCGATCCCAGGTTTTGCTTTTGTGACGACCCTTCCTATCTGTTTCTTTTTATAGTGACAGTGAGACTCCATGGTAGCTACATCCTTAATAGTTTCAGCATAAAAGTTATTTTTTACGTCTAATTTCAAATTGGGCATTTAAAAAGTGTCCTTTGTAATACAATATCGTCGCACACTAATTTGCATAAAGCCATGGTCTGTTCCAAATAAGTCCTTTTGGACTTAGAAAAAACCCGCATTGCTCATTTCTGCACTAATTTCCTCTCAGTAAATCCTTTTTCTCCGTTTCCTATCTCTCTACCACTGAGACTGTGGTTGGGCCGAACGTAGTTTAACAGATATTTCACACTTTCACATATCAACTACATAAATTGTAGAGATAAATGTGAAAATACAATTTTTTTCTATTTCCGACAGTACTATAGTAAAGCTGCCACACTGCCTTTAATCAAGAATGACATTCTGTACATCATTGCGAGTGATATTCCTTGAGCACAACAGTCCAGTCAATGAGATGTCAAGATTGAGAGCTGTAAGAGATTCCACCACACCATCGCATTACGTTGATTTACATGGTTTTGGCAATGCAGTAAATAGTGAGCCACATTATCTAGCTGATTACACACTGTGCAGTTTGCAGGAATATCTTTATTAATAATATTTAGATACGCACCAAGACCACAACGCCCAAGACGAAATCTGGTTAAAACAACCTCTTCTCTACTATTGTTTCGGGATAATTTTGATTTGTTACAAAAGGCTTGATGCCATAGCGATGGCGTCCTTTTAAGGATGAGATCCATCTCTGTTGCCATTTCCTTTGAGCATGGATCTTACTGACGGTGCATAATTCTGCAGGAGAGGTCAATATTTGATTTACCTGTGATGGTGTTTGAAAATAGTCGAGCCTTGATCAAGTGATTACAGTTGTAAACATTATGACGCTAGACACGATGACATCCGTCAACCAAATCAGCCAACCCATGTCGAAACATTGATTACACAACAATCTCGTTTTCTGCTGACTGGGTTCCGCCCTACTGCGCAACTTAGTACAATAACCAGTCCGGAATTTTTAGACCAGCTCAGTGAACTGGATATATAAATATTAATTATTTGATACGTCTAATCACTTGTATAATTGCAACACTACGCTCCTTCTAATCCTTTCAAGCACGTCGTGCAGCGTGCTCTGTCGTACAGCGTGCTCTGACAAACGGAAATTTGGAAATCGTGGAATCTCTGCTCGGCCACTAGAAATGTTTGGCAGTCTGGTACGGACTTGATATTATTTAAATCACATTGTACGTTACAAAAAAACACTTAATAAGCGCAAAAAGCATATAACACGTGTAACCAGTGAGCCAAATGAATTGTGATTCATTGTACGACCTCTTCAAACAGGGGCAGTCTGTGACGTCTTAGAACATATAGAAATACGATTTTTTTAAGGTTTAAACTTAAAATTCATTTTTAAATACCATTTTCTTATGACACAAGGAATGGGAATTTGGTTTGGGAATTTGGATTGTAGTGTCTCTTTTCACTTTCACACGAGAAAATTCGGATCTGCTGAAAAGTAGGTCATTGTCTGAATTGGTTAATGAGACTCATGTTTCGGTTTGAACCACCTGATCCTACCTGTCGCCTCTTACAAGCATGGGTTGAAGATACGTTTTTCACGTGTATGCTAATAAAAAACTAAAAATTACATGCGTGACTTCCTGTTTTGGCAGTTAATCGATGGTAGGGTAGCCTAGTAGGTAAAACGTTCGCTCGTCACGCCGAAGACCCGGGTTCGATTCTCCACATGGGTACAAAGTGCGAAGCCCATTTCTGGTGCTCCCGGCGTGATATTGCTGGAATATCGCTAAAAGCGGCGTAAGACTAAACTCACTTACACTCAGTTAATCGAGACTAGCCATACGGTTTCAAATACACTTAATTTGGGTCGATGATTCTGCTGCAGGAGTCATCGAGTTTATCGTCCGTTTGGCTCAAAAGCGGACCGATGAATTGCAGTCTAACTCGAAAACTAATAAACATATACTACTCAATGAAACGCTGATCATAATCAAAACATCAGACCAACTCTGTGATATTTTTGCAGAATTTATGTCCTATAAATAGAAAAAGTTTTTTAACAAACTGTCATTAAAATATTTACACAGATCACTATTTGTTACGAGGGAGGAGTGCAAAGAGAGGAACAACCAGGTGTGCGACAAAGGACCTGGCTGTGTTTCATTAAGTGTAATATATGTTTATTTGTTTCCGAGTTTGAGCCAAACGGACTTTAATCACATGTACACTTCCCAATTACGTAGAGGCAACCACTAACGATACCTTTGGTCCGAAACATTAAAACTGTCTTGTAAGGACATATTGATTGAAAAAACATTGACTGCACCTGGAACAAGCAAAGTCTTTGTGCTAGTACAACAAGTCTATATGTGCTTTGTAAAAAGCAAGCGTTCTCCTTTCATGTTCGTTTATGGCTGGGTCTGTCTCGCACGTCATACCAGTCTGGATGAATATGTAAGTTTGACTCCCTACCACGCACGTAAGTAGGTATATATGTTTAGCGATATACACATGCTGTGAGGACTTCATGCATGAAGACATTCAAATTAGCCGCAGAGCCATGAAGCTTTATTGAGTAATTGAATTTTGTTTTATGAATGCGTGTTCTGTTACCCCTTAAACCCATAACCTTTCTTGATTTCTCATCCGAAACAGTTTTCATTGTGAGTAAAGGCAAAAAAGTAGTTGAAGTCATACGAACAAATCATTGACAATCAGGTGTTTGCGAGAAGGGAAGGCATGCTCTGTCCATAAACATGGGCGGATACCGCATTTTGAGTGCGGGAAGGGAGGTGGGTGCAAAGTTCATTTTCACGCCGTTTTCACGAGAGTTTCAAAGTTTGTTTTATAAACTCTCAAGACAAAAATCATATTTGCGCACCCCTGCACCCTCCCTCTGGATCTGCCTATGATACACATATTTAGGAATGAAAGCGTCAAAACCCTTAACACATCCTCATGAAATCTCTGCTCAAAGCAGAGTTGTTTTGCATCTCCAACTATATCATAAACATGTGTTTAGGACTCACAAGCGAACAGTGATGATGCCAACTAAGACGTGAGTGTATCCTGCCCCTCCGGTGGCACTGCAATAAACATGTGCATGAGAAATGGCATCAGTGTGCGAAATAGTTTCCAAATGTTGCTAGCCAGTCGGGCTAGCTGCCTGAATGTTGCTAGCCCCAAAAAAATAATTCACTAGCCCGAAATTTGAATGTAGAAACTAAACAAAAGATTGCAGAAATAGATGACAATAAGATATTGTCGGCATGACACGGGTTTCATCATTAAGCTGCAAATATGATTTTATCAGGCCATAATCTTGCATGATTTCAAAGTGTACTGTAACTTAACACGTCGGAGAGAGTGATATATTTACAAAATGACCCCATAAAAAAATCACTAGCCACCCGGGCCAGTGACTGTTGAGATTTACTGGCCCGACTGGATTTTTACTAGCCACGGGCTAGCGGGCCAGTGGCTATTTCGCACACTGAATGGCATGTGATAGATAGGTAATGATCACTCTCAGGATTCGTTCCTTAGCCCAGATTGACCTGTCCGGACCACATCTGAAAGTGTCAGGTGGGGGTTTGAACGGAGACTACATAACTATCCAGCTCCACCTTCACTGGGGTAAAACAAGTTCTAATGGGTCAGAGCACACCCTGGATGGCACAGCGTACCCCATGGAGGTAGGCAGACAGTAATCCTATACCTCGCTACGTCAGCTTGGCTGTCGCATATCACATACCCAATCTGTTTATAAACTGTTTATCATATTCAGTCAAATCCCCTCTCCATTATCCTACAATGAAATACATGAAAGGATTGCGTGTTTAGAAAGCGGTGGGTATTCTCGAGCGATATCACTGTTTGCTTCCTTACTGAATTGCTGGTTTTGAAAGTTGACACATGTTACACGAATATCCATGAAACCGCACAAAACTCGTCGCCAAGTGATTTATGTACTAGTGAAATTCATTTTAGCAGAATTAGGAATCCGATTTCAAAGAATATTTCATTTTGCCCGTATCTATTTTTGTTCTTTGCATCTATCTATCTATCTATGAATCTATCTATCTATCTATGAATCTATCTATCTATCAATCTATCTATCTATCGTTCGTTCGTTCGTTCAATATGACTGAGTTCCATAAAGAAGGCAAGAAACAAATTCCTGGTCTATCCACTGATAATCATCGATCGTTCGTTCGTTCGTTCTATATGACTGAGTACCATAAAGACAAACAGACAGAGAGAGAGATTTCCATTAAAGTCTCACCTCGTATGTACAATATAAAACAATTGTCAAGTCATTAAAACAAACTATCCTTTACGAGCCACCCATTGAGGTTTACGAGAGACTATATGTACAATGTAAAATACAGTTTAATTAATACATGGTATTAAAAAGCAATAATGGTTAAATACACACTACACATTCTAAAAGAAAGACTACCCATCATGATATAAAATACTTTGCCGTTTTCCCAATAAATGTTTGCAGGTTTTGGCTGCTTAGAAGAATATCTCGGCCTCGGACATGATAAAACTAAACTTGTCATAATCACTCAAACATTTAAAAACATATTTCTTCACATTTGACTAAAAGACTGTTTGTAACATCAAAATAAAGTGGACATTGGAATAAAACATGACATTCATCCTCAACGCTCTCATTTCAATTAAAACACACACGTTGGTTCAGGGGCATGTTGGTGTATCGGCCCGTCTCAACACGTAGCGGGGCGACACCACAGCACAACATGGCTAGCGCTCGGCGATACGACCAAGGGAGGCTACTCTGTAGATACGGCTCAACTCTGTACGACTGTTTAAAGTCTCAACTTGTTCTTCCCATCTCCTTACTATTCTCCTGGTTGACTGCAACACTCCACTCACGTAAATAGTTTTGCATCACTTTATGTTCAACCTCTGATATTAAAAAACGTAATAAAATGAATTTCCAATATGGATAAAATGTTCAAGATCTAAAGATCTAAATTTCCTGTGTACACATTGATGCCAATTCCGTTTACTAGACACAGCCTTAGAATGGGCCCACTTGAACACATTAAAAAATATTCTGTTCGGGTTCTGATCGCATGATCGCTTTTAAAACCGAGCAACACTCTTCCATTGCCGGACAACCGGTGGCACCAACCCCATACCACCAGCTACAGCATCGTCGGCGTATACTTCCTCACGCCCATAAAGTACCTCATAGTTGTGAACAGCATTTATGGCTGGGATAGGCTACGTTCCCCATATTGCAGCACCGTAGTCTATAGTAGCCAATACCATGGAGTCGTAAAGCTTTGTAAAAGTCCTGTGCTGCATGCCTCTAAGGATTTTACACTTTGATATGAGGAGTCCTAGTGCCCCGCTGGCTGTGCCAGCCACCGCGTTTCCAATCCGGGTGTAGTTCATATGCTCTGTCAAGAGCAGGCCGAGGTAATGGTAGCTTTCTACCATCTCTAGGGTCTTGTCTCCACACTGAAATATCACATCTGTTATTTCTACTGCTTGGCTTCTAAAATGTATGACCTTTGTCTTCTCTGGGTTGACAGACATCTTGTTTACTTGGCACCACTGACTGAGTCCCTCTAGAAGTATATTCAAGTCAGCTTTGGTCTCGGCAAGCAGAATGATATCGTCGGCGTAGGCAAGGACGCTTATGTTTTTGTCATCAACTGGTATGCCGATGTCAAAGGCGTTGAGGGTTGATATCAGGTTGTCGATGTACAGGTTAAATATATAGTTAGGGTGAAAGCAGACATCCTTGACGCAGACCACTGTTGACCCGAAACCACGGCGTACTTGACTCGTTTATCCGCACACATGACTTTACATTATGGTAAAGCGATACGATGGCATTGAACATTTTCCCTTCAATTCCAATATTCTCGACTTTTCCTATAAAATACCTCTATCTATACAATCGTACGCTTTCCTAAAGTCCACGAAAGCTGCGAACGTCTGTTTGCCCATACTTTTCCTGGTCTCTATAATTGACATCACAGAGTTCTGCTCATCACCTAGTATATCACAGTTCTCCACATGTTCAGAAAGCCTATTGTTTAAAATACCTCAGTAGAGCTTGTAAGACGAACTGGCTAGTGTTATTCCTCTGTATGACAACGGGTTCATCTGTATTCGATCATCTGTATTCGACTTTGGTATGGGGTTAATAATTCCCTTCGACCATCCAGTAGAAACTTTCCCATTTCTAAAATACAGATTAAAAGAATAGGGTTGAAACATGAGGCCTTCTTCATTCTTTAGCACTTCCACTGGTATGCCATTACACCCTGGAGCTTTACCTTTCTTGGCTTGGAGTAGAGCATGACGTATCTCATGAAGTGTTATTGCTTTATTACGGTGGGCGTTGATGTCTGTGACGTCACTGTGACGACTGTTTTCCTCTCCATGGACATTATTGTTAAGAAAGGTGGAGTATGTTGTAGCCCATGTGTCTAAAACAACAGTCTTATCTCTCGATATCGAGCCATCTTCAGTAACCACCTCCATAGGAATCTGTTTTCTTCTTGCACTTCCAACACCAACCTTGCCGATCTTGTTCCAAAACTCACTTGATCTTGATTCACATATATCTTCTAAATCTTGCAGGGTCTTCTTCCTATGCATCAGCTTGGCTTGCTTAACGGCTTTGTCAAACAGTGTCCGGGTGTGCACATAATTAGCCTTCAACTCCGCACGTCTCCGACCACGACTTCGACACCAAGTGCGCTCTGCCTTGCACATATCTGTCCACCATGCCTTTTTTCATTTCCTTTCTTTTTGAATTGTATATAGAAGTAAGAACACGTCTTGTTAGAAGCGTACTGGTCATTTCTTTTAAAACCATATCATTAAAATAGTTAAAGGCCTCATCTATATCACATTGCTCCTGTTTGGATGTCTCAAGCTTAGCAATAACTTCCTGCTGATGGTTGTGAATGTACTCGGAGGTAAAGAAGTGTTCAGGTATGATTTCAGTGTTACACTTGAGTGTTGACCCGGCATCAACATCCTGGTCATCGTCATGAGTATAATGTGAATATGAGTCCATGTTGATAGTCCAGTTTAACACAGAGTGATCCAACTTCCCAACAGCCTCCGCATCCAACACACCCACTAGCCCAGCCTCATCTACCAACACATTCGGGCGGACAACACGGAAATCAAAGATACTTAAAGATTCATAGTTACATACACATTAATCAACAACTGAGTTACCTCTTGCGGTCACATACGTATAATCATTCACACCTTTGCGTCCATTTACAAAACACATATTTGCATTTGTTAAAAAAAATCACAAAATAGACGATCATGATTATTCAGTGTGTTATCAATATAGTCTCTCTGGGGTAGAAAGTCCACTCCTTTCCACGTAATCACGTAGATCAGCACATCTGCTGTTGAAGTCCTCACACATATATCTGATGTTCTGTGCTTGGTATCGATACACCTGAGATAACAGAGTCTCTAAAAAGTCAGATACATCAACTTGCCTTGTCGAATTCTCCTGCGGCAGATAACAAACACAGAGTGTTGATACACAACTCGGGATAACCTTATGAGTTAACTGAAGCCACAATATGCATGCCTTCATGTATAGGTATTGTCTAAAATGTTAATATAAATCAGAGCTCCAGATAAGATTTAGCTCATGTGGGTACTGTACCCACTGTAATTTGGGGGAATTGGGTATTTTTTAATGTTGAGTGAGTATTTCATTTCCGTTACCCACTGCTTTCAAATATGTGCGTATTTCAGTCATTTTACTCACCTAAGTATTATGTCACTGAGTAAGTTTACTAAGCAGGTATGTTCTGCCTTATCTAATCAAAACCAAGTTAACTATAATGGAAATGATTTCATAAAAAAGCACTGATCCTATACTGACAGTACAACACTTGTCCTATACTAACAGTACAACTTGATAGAAATCGATGTCTTTTTCATTACGCAAGCGATATTTATAAAAATATTCCGTACGCATTGGTTTTAAACGTTTTGCGTATCCAACATTTTAAGTGCGTAATTGGTACGCAACACTTATTTTTCAATGCGTAATTGGAAATTTTCTATGCGTATTTTACCCGGATACGCAGCTTATCTGGGCCTCTGAATAAAGAAGGCAAGAAACCAATTCCTGGTCAATCCACAGATAATCATATGTAGCCAAAACTTTCAGTAACGTGTTTTGCGAACAAATGTTGGTCTTTACCTTTTGTCTTTATGGTGTTACCCTGTCACCAATATCATGTTTACAGTTGCATATAGCCACCTACAAAGCATCCTACGGGACTCCACTTGAGGCACTGGACCAGGCAGATGGGATAGCTGCACTCGGCTTCTTCGTGGAGGTAATATATGTTGGATTAAAAAACAAAATGAGTGATTGAGTGAGTGAGTTTAGTTTTACACCGCTTTTAGCAATATTCCAGCAATATCACGGTGGGGTACACCTGAAATGGGCTTCACACATTGTACCAATGTGGGGAATCGAACCCGGGTCATCGGCGTGACGAGCGAACGCTTTAACCACTAGGCACAACCACTCTTTCCCCCCCTCCCCCCCAAACCTTATGGATAACAGTTTCTTCTATTTCGTGAGTGCGATGTTTGATACAGATTCTTGTACAGCGGGAATGGATTGAGTGAGTTTAGTGTTTCGCCGCACTCAGCAATATTCCAGCTATATGGCGGCGGTCTGTAAATAATAGAGTCTGGACCAGACAAGGGGCGGTGGGGTAGCCTAGTGGTTAAAGCGTTCGCTCGTTTCGCTGAAGACCCGGGTTCGATTCCCCACATGGGTACAATGTGTGAAGCCCATTTCAGGTGTCCCCCGCCGTGATATTGCTGGAATATTGCTAAAGAGCGGCGTAAAACCATACTCACTCACTGGACCAGACAATCCAGTGATGAACAGCATGAGCATCGATCTGCGCAATTGGGAACCGATGACATGTGTCAACCAAGTCAGCGAGCCTGACCACCCGATCCGTTAGTCGCCTTTTACGACAAGCATGGGTTACTGAAGATCAATTCTAACCCTGACCGTCACAGGAGGCAGCAGGAATGGAACATGAAGAGAAGGGGGATGTATATATACTGGATGTAATGAAGAAAATATCATAATTAACATAATTCGCTAGGCAGTAAGCTGACGAAACCAGCACGTTGACAAAAGAAAGGCGTGGAAACCAGAGATGTACAAATAAGGAGATGTTTAAAAAGTAGATTGGGCTTGGTGGAGGAGTGCATCATAAGTGGATGGAATGAAGTATCCTTGGTCTCGGTCGATGGTGGGCTTTTAGCGTTTGATGTGGATGGCTTCGCTGAGCTTGCGTTTGATTTTCAGCAAGAATGGTGATGTCAGACCACTCTTTTTGATGATGAAATAAAAGTTGTTATCCATAAAGTTTATTCAACATTGTACTTCCCAACTTCTAAAATGCCACTCAAAGAAGAAATATAGCTTTCCCATTTGAATCCTCGGATCCGGGTTAGAGTTGGTCTTCAGTAACCCATGCTTGCTGTAAGAGACGACTAACCGGATCGGGTGGTCAGGGTCGCTGACTACGTTGACACATGTCATCGTATCCCAAATGCGTAGATTGATGCTCATGCTGTTGATCACTGGAATATGTCTGGCCCAGACTTTCCATCACACGGGAAATTATTTCAATGTAAACAATCAAGGATCTTTTTTATAATGTTAATTATCATTTAATAATTCTTTTTTTAATGAAATATAATTACCTGATATTTTTTTAATGATATGCTTTGTAAATAGATAAATGCTATTTTAAAATGGTAGTATAAATTAGCCACTACTGGCTGTATCCTTAAAGGAGGTTAAAGTATCTTTACAATATTGTCCTTCTGAGAGGGTAGGTAAGTCCCAAAACTTTCAGAGTATATTTAAACTTACCAATGTTTTAAACGTAGTATTTTTATAATTTTAAAGTATGGCTAAATTTTCCTACAATCGCCCGCTTTGGAAGGGATGGTGTAAATCCAACTAGGGTCCATGCAGGTAGCAAACGCACAGTATGTTTTCATCTTTAGTGTATAAATTGTTTTCGTCACGATATGGCTGAGACATTGCCGATGTAACGTAAAATATTAACTCACTCACTCTGGACCAGACTCGATTATTTACAGACCACCGCCATATAGCTGGAATATTACTGAGCGCGGCATTAAAGAAGAAAAAAACAATCATTTCGTCACAACAAAGAAACCGTCACAGGACATGTATATTCGTTACATTTAGATTCATTTATGTCCTCACTCACTCTCTGCGCTACTCCGTTATTACCCCGGTCAATGGATAAGTTTTTGCTCAATTATTCTCAGCTCCGACAGGATTTGAGAATAAGGTGTCTCACTGGCCAAGGGACGCAACTCTGTACAGCGGGTTGTGGCGGCCGAGAAAACAGCCCATCCGTTGCGCCAAGACACTATCAATGCATCAAGCCTCACGCTATATATGTAAAGTAAGAAAGGGAAACGAGGCCATGGTACGGCTATGCAGTGATGCGTTGAAATGTTTAAAAATAATAACTGATTTCTATAGCGCCGTCTTTCCAGCGTTTCTGCTGCTCAACGGTGCTGTTCCAGTCAATCTGATTATTATTATTACCCCGGATAACCCAAGCTGCCTGTGAGGCGCAAGAAGGTTAATAGTCTCCTGACCTATTCCACCGGGTATGCATTTTCTGCTGGGTGAACACAGGCAATTTTGAACAAATTCACTTGCCTGACGTGAGACCACGTGTATCCCACGTGCTCCGACGTTTTTGTATGTCACTGCCTGAACAGATGCAGGTATTCCCCACGGCCCATGTAGACAAACCACGTTATAAAGTAAAGGCGGCCCTGTCCTCCGAAATTACCTCGGTGACGCACTGTTAAATGTCGTAAGTGAGTGAGTTAAAATTTAACATCGGCAGTATTTCAGCCATATCGTGACTAAGAAAGCTGCAAATTTATAAATGAATAAAAGCAAAGTTAGAAAATATACTTACCTGTCTGCAAAGGACAGTAAAACAACTAGAAATAAATGTAAAACTAGTAATTAAAATCTAATATACTTTAACTATAAATGACAATACAGTATAACAACAGGCTATAGATTGCCAACAACTGATCGCCATACTAGGGACCATGGGGACTTACAGTACATTTGCTTCCTGCATGGACAAATGACGTCAGCACGTGGAGACATGTCAACATTCAGGTTCGTCTGAAGGTAGTTTAGAAGCATATTCTAAAAATGTCAATAAATGTTTGAATCTTAGGGTCGTGTTAATAATTGTTCCTTGTACATTTGGATTCAGTGTCAATCGAGATATCAAAACAACTTCTCGTCCCTATCGATTCAGCGTTAATGAAGATCTTCTAAGAAAGCTGCAAATTTATAAATGAATAAAAACAAAGTTAGAAAATATACTTACCTGTCTGCAAAGGACAGTAAAACAACTAGATTATCACAGAAATAAATTTAAAACTAGTAATTAAATCTAATATACTTTAACTATAAATGACAATACAGTATAACAACAGGCTATAGATTGCCAACAACTGATCGCCATACTAGGGACCATGGGGACTTACAGTACATTTGCTTCCTGCATGGACAAATGACGTCAGCACGTGGAGACATGTCAACATTCAGGTTCGTCTGAAGGTAGTTTAGAAGCATATTCTAAAAATGTCAATAAATGTTTGAATCTTAGGGTCGTGTTAATAATAATTGTTCCTTGTATATTTGGATTCAGTTTTACTTCTTTGATGGGCATTTTAGAAGTTGAGTTGATGCTTTCTTGACAACGACATTAGAATCTATGTCGAAACGTCGCCCTTCACAGAATAAATGAAGTTGTATATCCATAAAAAGTGTCATCATTCTTTGGATTCAGTGTCAATCGAGACTTCAATACAGATTCTCGTCCCTATCGATTCAGCGTTAATCGAGAGTTCCATTGCGCATCCTTGTACATTTATATTCAGCGTTTAGGGGGTGGGGTAGCCAAGTGGTTAATTGCTCGCTCATCAGGCTGAATACCCGGGTTCGATTCCCCACGTGGGCACTTTGTGTGAAGCCCATTTCTAGTATCCCCTGCCGTGATATTGATGGAATATTGCTAAAAGCGACGTACAACTCAATTTACTTAAGGGACTTCAACAAAAGAATGTCAAGTTTGTTGACGTGTAATTCACCACGTAATTGCGTAAGCCACCATCCTTAACAGCGGATGAAACAACGAACACCATGTTTAGTTATGGTTATGAAATCTCCTTTACGACCGGGGCGGTGGGGTAGCCTAGTGGTTAAGGCGTTCGCTCGTCACGCCGAAGACCCGGGTTCGATTCCCCACATGGGTACAGTGTGTTAAGCCCATTTCTGGTGTCCCCTGCCGTGATATTGCTGGAATATTGCTAAAAGCGTCGTAAAACCAAACTCACTCACTCACTCACTCCTTTACGGCCGTGTAATTTCGGGTTACACTTGTTAACGGCGAAGTATGCTAGTCTTGCCAGGAGAATTAATTAATGGGCAGATTGGTAAAACTAGGAGATTCTTTTGACAGCGTTTTGTTGTATTGCTGACAATATCAGATACTGGACTGCCTGGTCTGAACTCAGTTACGAACCTGCCACGTTATATAGATGTTACACTGCTGAGATTAAACACCATGCATGCACAATAATAAGGCTGCGCACTATAACCAGTTTACCGGTATTTACCGGTTCTGACATGAAAACGATACGTATTACGCTGATCGAAAACCGGTATTTTGACATTCACTCGAAAACCTTAACGTAACACTCGGAAATCTTGATGATTGTGACAACTGTGGTAATGGTGGTGGGAATGGTCGTGGTGAAAATTACATTTAACTGGATTGTTAAGTTCGGTTTGAAGTTGTGTTCTTAACTTTTGTTCAAGTTTTTCGCAATATTTTGAATCTGAATGTTTTTAATATTTACTCATTAATGACCACTGATCTCTGATATGTCCTGACCAGGTCAAGTTGCTGTCTAAAAGTCTCAGGGCTTTTTCGAGAGTGGAGAAACTAGTTCAAACTAGTAACCACTGTGTTGATATTAAATTCTTCTTTTCCTTGTTTCATTTGTGTCAAATATTATTCACATTTTTATTTTGTCATGATTAAAAGTTTTGGATTAAAGCTTAATCAAGCATAGTGATTTTGTTAATGTGTTTTTGCTTTATAAATAAAGCATTAACTCGATCATAAGTAGCTTTTTGTTAAGTAAAACATCTTGCAATATATTGTAATATATATCTCAATATATGCTTTCGCATCGCAATATATCGCAATATGAAAATTCTCTGCAAAACCCACTCCTACACAATATCTGCTTGACCCGTGAAGGTCCGGGTGTGGGTTAAAATCGATCTTCAGCAACCCATGCTTGTCGTAAGAGGCGACTAACGGGATCGGGTGGTCAGGCTCGCTGACTTGGTTGACACATGTCATCTGTTCCAAATTGCGCAGATCGATGCTCATGCTGTTGATCACTGGATTGTCTGGTCCAGACTCGATTATTTACAGACCGCCGCCATATAGCTGGACTATTGCTGAGTGTGGCGTATAACTAAACTCACTCACTCACTCAATATCTGCTTTATTTATTAGTTGATAGCGTGTTGTCGTTGGATGCCACTGGAGTTCGGAGATTGTCAGACTGTTTCATCCCAATACAGCACTCGTTTCTTGCATGAATAGTTTTTTGAATGCACTTAACATTGTGCTTTCCTGCTCAAGCTGTTGGAATATTGCATTCGTTCGTTCATTCCTCGTGTTACAGATTGGAAACACCACTCAGAAGGGCCTGGAAACCATGGCCGATGCGCTGCCTCAGGTTCTTCAAAATGGTATACTTATTCGCCATTTCACTTTCTTTATCATATACCGCCTCCGTGGTGTAATGGTTAGAGCGTCCGCCCGGAGTGCGGAAGGTCGCGGGTTCGATCCCCGACCGCGTCATACCAAAAGACGTTAAAATATGGTACTTGTTGGTCTCTGCCTGGCGCTCGGCATTAATGGGTACAGCAAGGGCTGGTCGGCTCGGAGTCAGTATAATGTGTCTGAGTGGGGTATTCATGCTTCACTGTAGCATGGTATCTCAGTGGGCTAGCACTATAAAACCAGCTTAAGTCTGGGCTAGTACAAGCAGCCGCACATACACATACACACACATGCACGTCGTCATATGAGCGAAATATTCTCAAGCACGACGTTAAACCCAATTTCACCTCACCTCACCTCTTTATCATACTGCCAACGAGCGATGGGTTAGGCTTGTGGTCAAAGCGTTCGCTCCTCATGTAGAAGATCCAGGTTCATTTCCCCCCATGGATACAAAGGGTGACGTCCGTTTGTAGTGTGCCCCGCCGTGATATTGTTGGAATATTGCGTGAAACCGGACTCGGTCACTCACACATACTGACAGTTACTAAATGCTGTTTTTTTCCTAAACCTAACTCGAATCAGGCATCAAGGACAACGAATATTACCTGGAAATATTCCCCACACTGGTAGTATTCTCATAGTGTAATAAGTGATGTTTTCCCACTGCCCCTAAAGGAATACAGATGATTGAATATCCGAAAATATCAACGTTATCCTAGAATAGCAACCGTTGAGATATATTTAAGCCGGAAATGATCGGCATTGTAATTTCAAACCATATCATATCCCTGTATTTTTGTCAATCGGTTTCATACAATGATTAAGTGGTACTGTAATTCACCCTGATACCCTGGTTGACGATCTACAGCTCATTTTATCTCGTGGTGTTAAGTTAATGTAGGACACCGTGTTGTTAATTGAAGGTTATCTCTGTTAAATATTGCCATACTAGTTCCATAATTAATAATTTTTGAAATGGCTGGAATGCTGTCAGAGTGACTAGGAATTAAACCTATTCAAACAACATACCTGTCGATGGAATTAGAGGAAAAAATAATAATCCAATTAATGCCATAATACTTGTTGTAAAGCAAGTTATCTTTAGACACAGCAGAAATTCAACTGTACCCTTTATCAGTCATGTGAAAAGGGAGATAATTAAGTATTATGACATAACAAGATATGTTTATTCTTCCTCTTGTGATGTTGATAATTTTTTCTCCTTTTGGTCATCTCTACATACACTTTTCCAGCACTACAAGGAGAGGGATGAATGATTTTGTCTGTCATCCTTATTTCATATAGATACAAATTGAATGCATATCCACCTGTACATTCATACGTATCTACATACATACACACATATACGTACCCGTGCATACATACACAAACGTACATACATATACATACGTACGTACGTATGTACATACATACACATATGTACACATACATACATACATACATACATACACACACACACACACACACACTACACACACACACATACATACATACATACATACATACATACATACATACATACATACATACATACATACATACATACATACATACATACATACATACATACATACATACATACATACATACATACATACATAAATACATACATACATACATGCCCATACCCATACCCATACCCACGGCATCATGGTATCTGATGCCATTTGCAGACTTTTTTATAGAAATATCATTGATTGCTTTTGTAATCTCTTATATCAACACAATTGTACCTATCAATGTCATACGTTGACCACATGTACTGTACCTATAAACAAGTAAAAAAATGGTAAATAAAAAAAAAAAAAAAATACCTGTCGATGCTTGACCACATGTTCATTTAATCAGACAATCTCTGGTTTGTTTGTAGGGACAAATACAACAATGATGCCTTTCAAGCTTGAAGAATTCCTTCCTAACGACCTCAAGAACTTCTACCGTTATCTTGGCAGTTTCACGACCCCAACATGTAATGAGTCTGTCATATGGACTGTCTTTACGGACACCATCAAGATTACTGAGGAAAAGGTAGGTCATTTCCAGAGCTGGTAATGATGATGATGATCACCATCATCGTTATATACTACTCACAATATGCGAAGGATCACAAAAATTCACAACTTTACTTAAACGAAGATTTATTATTTGAAATTGTATTCATTTAAAATTGGATAAATAATAATATGGTAACCCCTCTTTAGGCAAACAGTCACTTTAATCTAACCTTATACACTTGATACATGAGTAACCATAGAAATGGTTTTCATGGCACCAATCAACCATTTTGCAAATCATGGAACGAGTCATTGACAAGTACACAACACCTGTCAATAGCAAGTGTGGGATCCACAAGATGCAATGACATATTGAAACCTAGGATCCATGCTTCCAATAAGTTTTCTGTTGAATCCATGATTTGATCCTTAGCAAAGTGTGAATAGTAGTCTTCAAAATTACCACATAGACTGTTTTCAATGATGGAACAGGGGGGTAAATTAATGGTAGGACATCACCGTCATCATCATAATCATCATCATCACTGTCGTCTTCATCGTCATCTTCAACAACGACCCCATCACCTTCTTCAAGGACGATCATGAGATCCATCATCGTCACTGACTGCCCTCTCAGTTTCCAAACTTACAGACCAACGGGATCGGGTGGTCAGGCTCGGTGACTTGGTTGACACATGTCATCGGTTCCAAATTGCGTAGATCGAGGCTCATGCTTTTGATCACTGTATTGTCTGGTCCAGACCCGATTATTTACAGACCGCCGCCATATAGCTGGAATATTGCTGAGTGCGGCGTAAAACTCACTCACTCACTCCAAACTTACATACATGCATCCCGCGTCTAAATTGGATTGAGGGAGGATAACAATATATGAATGGACAACTTCCTTATTGTGCATTGTTCATCCATATTTTGTTCTCCTTTCTTACTGCCCCAACATCTAAAAGCCACTAAACGATGTTAAATTGGATTGGTTGGACAGACCTGTTGACTTGTAGTGTTTACGTGCCGCCATGATATAACAGCTGGATCACAGTGTTAATGCGAAAACACCATCCTGGACCTGTTCCCCTTCACTATGTTACCATCACCACTGCCATATCTATCGTGCAACCGTCTCCGTGGTGTAGTGGTTAGAGCGTCCGCCCGGAGAGCGGAAGGTCGCGGGTTCGATCCCCGACCGCGATCATTCCAAAAGACGTTAAAATATGGTACTTGTTGGTCCCTGCCTGGCGCTCGGCATTAATGGGTACAACAAGGACTGGTCGACTCGGAGTCTGAGTATAATGTGTCTGAGTGGGGTATTCATGCTTCACTGCGGCATGGTATCTCAGTGGGCTAGCACGATAAAACAAGCTTAAGTCTGGGCTAGTACAAGCAGCCGCACATACACGAACACATGCATGCACGTCGTCATATGAGCGAAATATTCTCAAGCACGACGTAAAACCCAATTTCACCATCACCACCATCTATCGTGCATTCTTTCTTACCATATATACTGAAAAACAAAAGAAATGACATTTAAGTATCAATGGAGTATTTGATCCTATTTTTGTAATATACACCGGAAGTCAAGTTTGAGGAAAACATGAATCGTGGTCGTATAGCCTGTGGTGAACACAGCTAGGTTAACGAGAGATCAACGACAACAAGTCATTGGACGTCTAGACGCTGGTCAACGTGCTTGAGTCATTGCTAATGGCTTCAGAACGTCTTAGGATACAACGCCACCAACAGCACTGATGACAGTCCACGTAGTGGTCGACCCCGTGTAACAACACGTCGCCAGGACCGTCATATCGCCCATCAACACCTCTCGTTAACCTAGACATAGCTGCTGTGTTCAGAAAACAAATGAACGATTGCCATTCAAGCCGGCAATTTATGCCTGAATGCGCATGATGCACGTGCATCTAGATTTCTATGTTGTGTTCGTGCGAATTCTTCCCTTTCCACAAGCAAACACATTTCAAACCACAATCTCATACAATTCTTTATTGGGCAAAACAGGCTATACGACCACGATTCATGTTTTCCTCAAACTTGACTTCCAGTGTATATTAAAAAACATAGGTTCAAATACTCCATTGATACTTAAATGTCATTTCCAATATTACGACGTTTCTTTTGCCTTGCTGTATATATTCATCAGCACCACATTATAACTGTCAGATCTCTTCGATCCTCTCACCAGTTTCTCCTTCAGCCACCTGCACTAAGCCCAGTCGCAACACCAGCCGTTGTTTCCAAATTGCAGGACCAAACTTGTGGGATGAACTCCCACAACATCTGAGATCAAACCATGATCTGGACTCATTGAAATCACAGCTGAAGACTCACTACTGTGAATCACACAACAACTAACTTTCCCTCAGAGACTCAAGCGCTGCAGAGTTTATTCTGGATATAGCGCTATATAAGGTTTTTTATAGATAGATAGATAGATAGATAGATAGTGATAGATAGATAAGATGAATAGATTGATAGATAGATAACTGAAAACTATTCTGAAACTGTTTATAATCATCACCATCAGCAGCAGCAGCATGCGCAGCGACAGCAGCTTCAGACACCTGTAGGATAAGGTCCTCGTCATTACCATACTCCAGCATAATGTTTAGTTATCAAACGATGAACGATGATTTTGTTCTGTTCAATATAATCATCTCATGTTTCGATGTTTTCAGCTGGCTGAGTTCCGAAAACTGCAATCTGGCGAAATGAACGACAACGGCGACTACAACATGTATGACAATTTCCGCCCGATCCAGAGTCTTGGAACAAGAGTCGTCTACTCCAGCTTCGGAATTTATGAACCTTCGGGTGCTCATAAGTCTAACCCTTTGACATTCTCCCTATTCGTCCTTCTTGCAACAATGAATCTTTTAATCACGACCTAGTTGCATGATAATCAAGAAGCCCATGTGTCTAATATCTGTCTGTTGGCTCCCTTTGTTGTTAGGATTCGTTTGTGGTGACTCAAATTCCAGTTTGTGATATTCCTCAGTCTGTCAAAACAATGATTGTGCTCATGTTTCAGTTTGGGATGTCCTTCAATATTTAGGTGACTTGCCGAAATTTCACGGAACACCGAGCAAGTATAACTTGCGGGATTTATTTTTCCTTTGTTTGCTGTTTTTGCCACTCAACAGCATTACAGTTTGAAATAGAGGATACAAAGTGTCAGGCACTGAGAGTTCACAGGAACCATTTCTTAGATTTGGATATATGCAGAGAAGTTCGCACTTAAATTACTTCAAATGAAGAGATAACAAATTATTTCAACACCTTCAGGGCATTACATTGTTTGATACCATGGGTAAAATATTTCTGCGCTGACAATAGGATAACTGATGAACTACAAGCAGAACTACTCAACAATTGGTTAAAATATTTAGTCTACAAGCAATGATACAAAACTATGCAAGCATAACAAGGGCAGCTTTGCATTGCCTCTTTGTGAATTTATCGAATGCATTTGACACAATGATATTCTGTTGAAAGGCCTTACGATCCTGGGATAAATGTGAAGTTCGATAATCTATTTTATTCAATGTTTAGAGAGATTCAAATGGATTAACAGGCTATGTCCAGTGTAATAACGCACCAGTCAGGGATGTGTCATGAGTCCATAGCTATTCCTATTTTCCACACACTTTAAATAAATTTGAAACGTGTGTTTTTAAAATTGCATAAGTCATAATGTTTGCATATGATGTATCGTCTGTAAGATATTCAGCCTTCAGCTTCAAATGAAAATATGTGTTCTGGAAGTGTTTCGTTTGCAACGTGAAATGAAAGTTAATATTAATTATTGAAGACCCCTCAGAAATTATGAAAAGTGGACATATAACGGTGACAACATTGAGATTGTTTCTTTCTACTGGTATCTGCCAATTATATTTACACCTAAACTGATGTTTACACAGGCTCAAATTTAACAAACTGTACAGAGAAAACCTTAGAAAACTTGTGATATCCCTGTTTTGATAGTATCAAACAACACCTGTAAAATAATGTTCCTTGGTGAATTTGTTAAATCTCAGAATGGCTTACATATATGACATATATGATCTGTAAACTAATGGTGTAGGCTGATACAACTAACCCTAACTAACCGACGATTGCTTTAAGATACTTACAGCTCAGGGCCCCTTTTCACAAAGCTCTCGTAAGCCTAAGATCTCTTAACTTTCCTCGTAGTAATCCTACCTCCTATACGGTAACATTGACTTACGATAGTCGTAGTGCTACGAGAGCTATGTGAAACGGGGCCCTGGGTGCTACTGGTCGCGCTGAGTGGGCTACAGATATCAGAGACATTATAGTCAGATTTTTACTTGGGTAAGCTTGGATATCCCAAGGCAATGTATGACAAACCCGATGTGCTAATGTAAATAATCAGACTCATACTCACATAGACAGTTTTAATCGTTAAAGTCAGTTACTTGATAAAGGATTCTATCACGCTTCATGCAGTAACCTTCAATAGTTGATTGGTTGGATGTTGTTTAACGCCGCACTCGGTCTGTAAATAATCTAGCCTGGACCAGACAATCCAGTTATCAAGAGCATGAGAATCAATTGAGAAATGATGACATGTCTTAACCGAGTTAGCGAGCCTGACCACCCGACCCCGTTAGTCGCCTATTACGACAAGTATGGGTTGCTGAAGACCAATTCTAACCCGGATCTTCACGGGTCTTCAAATAGCTATCGACACTGGAAGACACCATGAAACACCATATAAAGAAAGACGCATTTTGTCTGTCTGAAGATAAAGGTCTTATTGAAAATCAACTCCATGTATTATTCATTCGGGGTTCTTCTATCGCGATGCACTGATATGAAAATATATTACTTCCACTTCTTAACAATGTAATAGATATATTTTGTTCTGATAAATATGACATTGTGTACAACAATGCTGTTTAAACAATGTATGCTTTACAATTTTATGTTTACAAAAATGTACTTTTCATTCTGTAAAAATAATTTCTAAATATATTAATTAATAAATACAATTGTTAATACGTATACCGTCTATTTGCTCAGATGTATAAATTCCTGCATTTTGAATGTATGCATTTCGACATCACTGAACCAATTTAATTCCTGTCTGTCATAAATACATTCAGTCTTCTCATTATCGAGTGTGGATCAGTGATTGATATTATGATCTGGAATCGGTGATCTGCATCAACCTGATTATTATAAGTCCGACATTTCGACAGTCATGAGCTTCTACAGGAAAACAATTATAACCTGTAATCTTGTTGGTGGATTGTTTTTGATAATTCGTTACTAAATGTAATATCTGTTTAAACAGGGCAGTCCTCTCCTTTCAACAATTTCCTAGGCTGTCTGTTTCGGCAGAAAATCGAAATCGAGACTGACATTCTCTGGCGCTGACGTTTGATAATTTCATACTTTGAACTGAGAGAAAAAGCATTCATATGGCGTGAAGGGGACAAACGATTTTCGTTCTTTGCTTGTTTGTTTGCTGATATAAGCCGCACTCAATAATCGACAGCCTGGACAAGACAATCCAGTGATCATCACCATTAAGCATCGATCTACGCAAGTGGGATACGATGACATGTGTCAACCAAGTCAGCGAGCCTGACCTCTCGATTCCGTTAGTCGTACCTTACGACAAGCATGGGTTACTGAAAAACAGTTGTAACACGGATCTTAATCTAGTGTATCGCAAGTGAAGAAAGACGAACAACGCCTTCAATACATCGGTTGTGTGTTCAATATGTTCACAATGACGTTCGTTGTTAACAGAATTAACATCGTCGGTATTTTGTCATTGGTTGTCATGTGGGCGATATAGAAGTACTACAATAATACTAATCCATTTATATAGCGTCAAGCATCCATCTGTCTTGCTGCTCGTTGGACGCTGAAATCAGAATCTGGTATTTATTACCCCGGATAACCCAAGCTCCTTGTGAGGTGCTAGAAGGTTAATAGTCACATTAAATATCCCACCGTGTACCCATTTTCTGCTGGGTGAACAGAGGCAACTTTGAACAAACTCACTTGCCTAAGGCGAGACCACATGCATTACATGTGCTTCGTTGTAGGGCAGGACTGAAATCCAAGGAACAAGTAATCAGAAAGAGAAGCGCAAAGCCTTCTCATACCCATAAGAAAACTCGATAAACTCGATGAGCATGTGTTTATGAATCACGATATATAGTCTGTTTGCAGTGAAAACGTACCAATGCATTTCACTTTAAAAAAGAAAGTAAATCGAATAAAGTGGAATTATGATTGCGAATCCTCATAATTTTACTTTGACAAATTAACATTGAAATCTCAGAATTTTATTCAACTTAGGATAAAAGTTGTTTAACAAACGATCATAGTTTACAAATGTGTGTGTGTTGTTGTGTTGTATTGTGTGTGTGGGTATGTAAATTAAATGAAACACCGAGAACAAGTAGAGTTGGTCTAAGTTAACGCTCATCACGAACCGCACGTGCATTTGTTTGACTGTTCCCACTACTGCGCTTACCCCTTTGTAATACAAGACCAATGATAGCGATTTCAATGTAAGATTGTTTGATCTTTTATCGTAAGATGAATAAAATTCTGAGATTTAAATGTTCAGTTGGCAAGGTAAAATTATGACGATTCGTAATATTAATTTCACTTTATTTGATTTACTTTTTGTTTAAAGTGAAATTCATCGGTACGTTTTCACTGCAAACAGACTAGAAGAGATAGTGATGATACAAGGTGTTCTCAAAAGGTAAGCGTATCCTGCCCCACTGGTAGCATCCGTCATACATATACATACATAGGTTAGTAAAGTGTTCACCTGAAAAGGTCGGCAACATAAGGTACTAGGCCAAATAGGGATTTACATTGGACATCGTTACGAAGGTTATAAACATACGGCGGGGAAATCAGACACGGGCTTCACACATTTTACCCATGTGATTCGAACCCGGGCCTTCGGCGTGACGACAGGATTTTAACAGACGAGGCTAGTACCGCCAATATTTTAATGGGATCGTTACGTCGTGTATGTCAGCAGTGAAATCACGGTTACATGAAGACGGACACAGGAAGTTTAAAACGAGGCTAGTAACGTGAGTCGAGTGAGTCAGCAGTGTCGGGTTCACGCGGCGCCTTTAGCAATATCCCTGCAATATCACGTCGGGGACTCCAGCAATGGGCTTCACGTAATGTAGCCATTTGAGGATTCGAACCCGGGTCTTCGGCGAACACTTTAACCACTAGGCTACTCAACCGCCCCAGGACAGTAACGAAAACAGGGACCTGACCCACAATCCAATCTTATTGCAGCATGAACCGCGAGGACTAACAATGATGATGATCAAGATGATGATGATGATAATCGAGACGATCAAGATGATAATGATGGAACGACGTTGAACACATGATGATGATGATGATGATGATGATGATGATGATGATGATGATGATGATGATGATGATGATGATAGTGATTTGACTTATCTACGTCCGTGAAAACAGTCTATATGACAATGAATCACTGATGATATTTTTACAACTGCTTCTTCCAGCAACCTTTGAAATTTTGTGTTTGGTTGGTTGGTTGTTTAACTCCGCATGCCAGCGGCGGTCTGTTAATAGTCGAATCTTGATGTATCTACGCCACTGGGATCCAATGACATGTGTCAACCAAGTCAGCGCACCTGACTACCAAAACGATAAAGATGATAATGATGGAACGACGTTGAACAGATGATGATGATGATGATGATGATGATGATGATGAAAACAAACTTGACATTTTAAATTTGTAAGACACACATGAGGTGACGGTTACAATTACACGCACGTGACTACATACCCACATCGATGGCAATTCCGGAAAGGCATGCTCATGCGTGAGTGAGGTAGTTAGCACTATTCAGGAATATCACTAGTTCATTTGCCTTCCTGAAAATCTGTGTACCTACTGCTGGAATGACAGCATTTTGTTAGAAAACACGTCGTTATATGGAAGCATAAGTAAGTACATGCATAAGG